AAATATCCTCGCCCTTTCAGCCGTGGGGGCGTTATAAAGTAACGGTCAATCCCACTATTCGTTGGCAAAAGAGTAGCCCAAGAGTTGGCGGTGGGTGGTGATGACTAGCTGCCTTCCCTCTAGTCTTTCTCTGCTAAATTAGGGACGGCTAGCGCAGATAGCTCTCGAGTAGCTTGGTGCGAAATTCAAAAACAAACCAAACCAATAAGCATAAGACCACAGGAGTTATGGTGATGAAGAAAGATGACCTTATAGTTTCATTTATTGACAGAAGAGGTTAAATTAGAATCTATAGCCAGAGACAGTTCTCTTCAACTTTTAATATATAAAACCTGCAGAATTATTTAGCCAACTATTAACTATTCTTGTGGAAGGGTCATTCGCTGTATAATACAATATAATATAACCAGATACACGACATTTACATTTATCACCGGTAACCTTGACAACTCAACTAATGAAGATTTGTGATTACTAAAGGGCACAGGTCCTAAATGTCCCCCCCCCCAATCCGGTGTCTCAACGGTAAGTCGCTAAAATTAGGGTTTCGATACCTGCGGTGGGCAGAGCATACAGATATCTCATTGTGTAGCTTTGTGCTTAATAAAAAAACAAACCAAAAACCTACGCTGTAGTTAATTGAAATCGCACGAAGTATGAATAATTGGTAAACTAGTGAATATTTTATAAAAATGGAGGGAAAAAAAGAGAACTTTAAAGTAATACTATTTCATAAAATGGAGAAATAATCCATAAGAGAAATTACTGAGTTTTACGTTTCTTTACGTAATAGATACGTCATCACTCCTACCGATAAAACAGCTGACAATTTTGTTTAAGTATCATACCGAAACGCTCTATCGTTGTATTAGGTTTTCTTGTCTTTTGTGCAATATATTCTAATGTTAAGCCTAAATTACTTTGGATTTAAAACTAAATACGACGTCATGAAAATACAGGTTAATTGCCGGTGATAAATACTAAGACAAAGGATTTGTTGTTTAATAGGTAATGATCTTAAATATATTAAAGAGAATTGAAATAAATACTGTAGTATTCACAAAGGGAAAACTGTTAGTTTTTATTCTTTGGTTAAAGTTAATTCATCAACAGTTTTGTTTCTTTTTTGTTAAACACAAAGCTACACAATGAGCTATTATGAGTATCGAAACCCGGTTTTTAAAGTTTACAGATTTACATCGCTTTGCTTTAAAAGAAAGCGAACAAAATTACCGCTGAGCCACTGGGATGGGGGTAGGGGAGAGCATTTATTAACAGTTTTGTATAACTTGTTTATTAAATATATAATTTGATTATTTTATAGTTTTTTATCGTTTATCGTGTGTAGCAATGTTAGTTTGTTATATGAATTTAGGACGAACCTAAATCTCCTGAGCTGGCCGAACCTTGGGATTATGACCGAAAACATCGCTTATAGCGAGAGAACTCAAATGATAAATCAATACACCCCAAACATTATAACTAAGAACAGTACTCTAGTATCGATATAATCAATACTGGCTTAATATTTAGTTCTGATTTATGTGTATAATCTGCTTTGATAACAAGTTATTTATATTTTAAACATTTTTTATGGACCATATTTTACTGAATTATAACGAATATTTCAAGTATTGTGGTACTTAAGAAAAGAAGGATATTTATAAGGGTTAAAGAGTAGGTAAACAGCAACTCCAACATAATGTTGTTGGAAAGGGTTCAGTAATTATACTTTCAATTAAACCTTTGGTGAAAAGAAAAGATATCTGTGATATAATCATTAAACAGTTGGTCCACTGTATAATATCGAATAATAAATTAGAATCAAAACCACAACATATTTCACACACCTAAGTTAATTTAGCTTACTATGTGGTGAGTTAAAAAAAAAAACCTAAAAATTGTTATAAAACGTTCCACAGTTATGACACATACACACGCGTCTCGTTGATGCGAATTTGGTTTCAAAAACGGATCCTACATTACAAGTACAGCCTGCTTTGCTACCGAATACACTCTCAACAATGCATGTAGCAACGATGGAAACGTTACCGTGGTAACGGGTTTGTTATAACAAGTCCTTATACGTGGAATTCGGTAAGGAATAAATAGGTTTTGAACACAAAAATCGATGTGTGCTTACTTTCTTTACAAAACATTTTACGAATCTTAATACCCCTACCCCACGCTCGCCTAGTACCAGCACGTACACGGGAACAATCACTAGTACCAGCACGTACACGGGAACAAGCAATTGTATTTTTAATATCATAAACTTTATAAATTACTGGTTGTCATGGCAGCAGTTACCTTTCTTCAGAACGCCCGTTGTTGAATACACGGGTGCTGTGCTTCGAAATGTAAATAAAGCTTAAACGACATACCACTAGATGGCACTGTAGTCTCTTCCATGGCAGATGTTTGTTTGTTTGGCGTTAAACGGAAAGCTACGTAATGGGCTATCTGTGCTGAGCCCATTACGAGTATCGATACCCGGATTTTAGCGATGTGAACCCTCAGACTTACCGCTGAGCTACTGGGAAAGGGGCAGATGTAAAAAAAGTGTTATCACAGATTTTCAGGTAGCACATTATTAAGCCTTCAGAAGTGGTGAGTTATTTTGGTTCAGAAACGACACCTGAATTATAGTTTTGAAAAGCTGTATTTCCTGTTTTACTATTTACAGAAATATTTCGTAAAAAAAAGAAACGGTTTCAGTCGCTGCTTAGTTATTCCACATTTGTAGAAGCCCCTCCCCCCAGTGGCACAGCGGTATGTCTGCGGACTTATAACGCTAGAATGCGGGTTTCGATACCCGTGGTGGGTAGAGCACAGATAGCCCATTGTGTAGCTTTGTGCTTAAATACAAACAAAACAAAACAAAAAACATTTATAGTAAATTTTCACATTCCGGGTTTCGAACAATCTATGTAGATATTGAATACATCTAAGTTTCAATTCTTTAATATTAGAACAGTTGAAATAAAATATTGTAGTAAACGATCATTAGAGGCGCTGATTTCAATAAAAACGTATGACATTTCTAAGTTAAGAAAATAGTGTGGTAAATGATCACTAGAGGCGCTGACTTCATGAAGAACATATTATATTTCAAAGGTCTCCAATGGTACGTAGCTTTAGTCAATCTTGGTAGTTTATTAAGTTGCCCGGGCGTTGTCTGGTGGTTAGCGTACCGGACTGTGAATCCGAGGATGCATGGTTCGAATCGTGTTGCCGAAAAACTGCACTCTACATTTTAAAGCCGTGGCAGTCAAATTTAACAATTTAGTCTACATCTGGTCAACAGTAATTATTGCCAACTCTTGGGCTACTCTTGTCTGACCGAATATTTCTTGATAGACTAGAGGGAAGGCATCTTGTTAGCAGTAATTATCACCAACTCTCGGGCTACTCTTGTCCAGTAATCATGGACAACTCTTGGGCTACTCTTGTCTGACCGAATATTTCTTGATAGACTAGAGGGAAGTAGACCAGATGCCTTCCATCTAGTCTGTCAATTTACCAATTCGGTCAGACAAGAGTAGCCCAAAAGTTTGCAATAATTACTGTTGACCAGATGTCTTCCCTCTAGTCTATCAATTTAACAATTCGGTCAGACAAGAGTAGCCCAAAAGTTTGCAATAATTACTGTTGACCAGATGTCTTCCCTCTAGTCTATCAATTTAACAATTCGGTCAGACAAGAGTAGCCCAAGAGTTGGCAATAATTACTGTTGACCAGATGTATTCCCTCTAGTCTATCAATTCAACAATTCGATCAGACAAGAGTAGCCCAACAGTTGTCCATGATTACTGTTGACCAGATGCCTTCCCTCTAGTCTATCAGTTAAAAATCAAGAATGGTTTACATAGATAACCTTTGGGTAACTTTGCGTGAATATCCAAAACAAACAGTTTATATTACAGTAGAAGTTCTGTCTTCACTTTAGGTAGATACTACTTTAACACAATTGGGCTAGTCGGTATTACTGGCACGGCTACTGGGATCATAAGGTTTAATTTTTTCATAACCAGAAATAAATTTAAAAAAAAAACATTTTTGCATTTCTGATTTAACGTTATCTCTTAATTTGCCAGTAGAAGATCCCATTTCTTTCTTAAAGAGTTTGTTTGTTTTAGAGCAAAGCCACATTGGACTATCTGCTGTGTCCACCGCGAGGAATCAAACCCTGGATTTTAGCATTTTAAATCTGTAAAACTTGTGCTTTTCCACCAGGGGACATCTTAAAAAAAAAGCATAACATATGTTTCCTATTGGAAACGACTTGAGGACAAGTAATGCCAAGAGTTAAGGATATAAATCCTTCACAACTCATTTCTCCCCTATGAGACTGTCACGTCAGGTTGTTAAAGTGGGTGATATCGAGATACCAATTAAATATATTTAACGTGAAAGTTCACTTACTATAACGTGTTAATAACTGGAATTCACACATTTAGTAATATCTTAGAAACGCTTGTATGCTTGAACGCAAAGTTTCAAATTTATCTCACATTAAGTGTTTGTTTGTTTGTTTTGAATTTTGCGCAAAGCTACACGAGGGCCATCTACGCTAGCCGTCCCTAATTTAGCAGTTTAAGACTAGAAGGAAGGCAGCTAGTCATCACCACCAACCGCCAACTCTTGGGCTACTCTTTTACCAGCGAATAGTGGGAAAGGGCGAGCATGTTTGGTGGGACGGGGATTCGAACCCGTGATCCTCAGATTGCGAGTCGAGCGCCCTAAATCTCACATTAAAGGGACGGGCTCAAATTTGTGGAAGGTGATTGAACAATTAAGTGATGTTTTATCCTCCACCCCTATTCTCCAGCTGCTGCGGATTGCTTATGTTACCATTACCGACCACAAAAAAGACGAACGAATTAGAAGGGAACATCTCATAAGATTTCCCATAATGCCTCAAATGAAGAACACTTTGCTCAACCTTGTGTTCGCCTCTTTAGGTATTTTGCGAATATTTTGTAATTGCCAAAGAAAAGTAACCGGAAAACATTGAAATTTTATTCCAATAATGAGAACGTGCTAGAAAGATACATCTGGTTATACATGTACATCAGTTTGAACCAGCGCCATCTTTACTTATCCCGTTGAGATTTCACCCAGTTCTTGAAAGCTTCAATGGGTTCTTCATTCACTTCCTTATAGTCTGGAATTTCCTGTTTCACTTTAGAAATCCAAGCAGTAAGATTTGGGTAGCTACTGAAATCGTAGTCCAATACCTACAGAAAAAAAATGGAACGAAGTTAAGGAGAGATTCCACAGAGGCTGAAAAGTAAATTTATTTGATTATTTTAGAGCACAAAGCTACACAATGGGCTAACTGTTCTGTGCCCATCATTTTTAGCGTTATAAGTCTTCAGGCTGAGCCACTGGTGGGCGAAACAGTAAGATTTAGACATCACTCGAGAAAAATCTAAACAAATAAACATTTTTCTGAAAGTCTTTAAGTCTTACATAATTATTTTTACGTTTCCACGACAAGTAACAAACTCGTGAAATCAGCCTAAATCTTAAAGTACACGAACTTATCATTCGTTTACTAAACGTTTCCATGGCAACGCATCCACTTATAACTACCGTGACCGTTGAAGATATAAAAATCATTATCTGAAACATTAACACGTTTTGGAAAGTTTAAATATTTGTACACCGCGACCTGTGGCGCTGTCGTTGAAAACGTCATCTACCACTTACTTGCATCATTGAGAGAGACGCCATGATGGAAATGTCAGCCAGTGTTAGTTGATCTCCAGCTATGTAGGAAGATTTCTCCAGATATTTCTCCAGGTGGCCCAAAGCAGTTTTGTAATTATTTTCTTTTTCTGGGTCTGGAGCTTGCCCATGGAAAACTTGGGGGTACTGTAGCAAGAAAAACATTAAACACGCCTTAACCATGGAAACCTTCTTGGGGGTTACATAACAAGAGAAAACGTTAAACAATCCGTAACCTTGGAAACATTGTGAGTAATGTATCAATAAAATGCGAGACTTTCCACGGTTATTCATTCACAACTGTATTTTCTGGATCCAAAACTTCATCTATTTTAAAATATTTACACTTTCATCGTCTGTTTATGTCCTACGTTAATTATTCATTGCAATCACGCTTTATAAGCATCTTAAGTAAATATCGTCATGATGATTGTGTTCCTTCACTGTTGATAGATATTTAAAGAAATTATAGTTTTTTTTCAGTAAGTTTTTATTATTTTCTAAAATATTTGTCTATTTATACGACGTGTCGATTTCTGGTGTGATCGTCGTCAAGGCTTAAAATATGACACTAAAAGGTAAATTATAACAAAATATTTGTCTATTTGTACGACGTGTCGATTTCTGGTGTGATCGTCGTCAAGGCTTAAAATATGACACTAAAAGGTAAGATTATAACAAAGTATTTGTCTATTTGTTCGACGTATCGATTTCTGGTGTGATCGTCGTCAAGGCTTAAAATATGACACTAAAAGGTAGATTATAACAATGTACGACGTATCGATTTCTGGTGTGATCGTCGTCAAGGCTTAAAATATGACACTAAAAGGTAGATTATAACAAT